GGTAATAACCTAACACGGTTTGTCTCTTACTAACACTGAACGTGAGATTGTTATGTTAGCCTTTGTTGTAAGCTAACATTAGCTGGCAGAGCACAGCTAATTCACAACGCAAACGTGTAACCTCATGTGTTGTGTACTTATTTAGACAACTGAGAGCTAGTTTATTGTAGTTTCAGCTGGACAAAAGAGGATGCTTAGCTCTGTGAAATTAACTCTACTATTTGAAATGCATGTAAACAAACTGTATGAAAATACAAGTCAGTGATTTATGTTTAACCTCATTTTCTTAACCCATATGCCTCACTAAGAACATTCTTGGTTTGTCACTTAATTTTCTTGATGATTTTGGCTGTGTTCATATATGGCATCAATAGAACGTAATAAACTCAATAGAATGATATATTACACTTGTACTGTACATTTCCTCACACTGTACATTTCCTCACACATTAAATGTATCAAGATTTATTTTCTTGTTACAAGAAAAAAAAAAATCCACTGGCAGATTTTTCTACTTATTTCAAGTGAAAATTTATTTATTTTAAGTGTAATGATATTTGTTTTGACTAGAAATAAGACAAATATTCTTAGTAAGATTTTGAGTTTTTGCAGTGCAATATCAATCACAATATCACACCCCCTTTAGCTAAACAGCTTAGGCTACTCACTACTTAGTAGAGCTGCAGTTGGCATCTCCCAGAGTTGAACCTCTTCATTACTGCCCCCTTCCATTCAGTAGCATATCTTTTAGTTAAGTCTCTTTCAGAGGCCAGCTGCACTAAATGTGCTTTTCGTTGGCGCAGCATGCTGAGTCTATTGTCTGTGAGAACACTTTTTAAAGTGGAGAAAGAATTCTCACACATGGCTGTTGATGCTCCAAATGACAGAGCATGTTTAAAGGCCGTCATCACACTTGGCATAGCCTCCAGTGCGCTATGGAATGTCTTGTCAATCTGTGATATTGTCCAGGTTTCATCATCGGCAGTCATGTTTGTTTTGAGGAAGTGGTGAGCAACCAGAAATTCTGCTTCAATGATTTCAGTACTTGATAAAGTCAGAATGGGTTTTACATGTTTAACATAGAGGAACGTTGCACTGTTTGGGTCCAGAGATTGAAGTGCGGTCATTAACTCACTGTTGCATTCACTGAAACGCTTGCTTATTTCTTCCCCACCGCATCCAAGGTGCTGTAGAATAATCTCCGCAGTTCAGTGTCCCCCTCGTCAGTATCACCCTGCTGCTGGCCAACGGTGTCTTCAACGAGATATCCTTGGAGACTTTTGTTAACAGTCCTCTTCCTCTTCTGTGGCCTTTCTGTCTCCTTACACTGTCCCATAATGTTGTTAAATTCACTTTCTGAGCGCAGTTGCTCAACACATTCAGATGCACTTTTCACTAAGCGCATCCCAGAGAGCAAATCCATTTGTTCTGACTGAAGCATTTTGTTGGGGGCATCAAGCAGCTGCAAAATCTTCTGCACAAAGCATCCAATGAATTCAAAGCTTGGCTCTGAAATAGCTCGAATCAGACCTGCTGCCTCAATTCATAAGTCAGTTCCAAAGGCACGATTGCTGTCAATCTCTGACAACAGAGAGAAAATATCATCAAATGACTTGAGCACAACTGTGACGGTAGCTAGATGGCCAGTCCACCGCTGTTCCAGCAGACGTTTTAGCCTGTCTCCTTTATAGTGGACTGCAACAGTGGGTTTCTTAATGAATTTGTATAGAGACCCACAAACTCCAAAGAAGTCCTCGATTGCTCCCTCGCTTGACATTGCATTTATCACAACTAGGTGGAGCTGGTGATTAAAACAATGGACATAGGGTATCTCTCTGGCGAGCATGTCCTGCAGTATCTTCTGAACACCCCCATGCTTCCCGGACATGACCATCATACACCTGACTGAGAATTTTAAATGTACTTAAACCAACTCTGCGCAGCTCTGTGATTATAGTGTTTGCAAGGGTTTTGGCATCTCCCCCATCTGCAGTAGCAATAGTTAGTAAACGCTCCCTAACTTCCAAATCTTCTGCTACAAAGCGGATCATGATAGAAATGTTTTCACAGCCAGTGGGGTCTCGGGTGCCATCAACTTTAATGGTAAACCATGAATCACTGACTTCATGTACAATTTCTTGATTTAAAATATCACTCATTATCTTGAGTAGTTCGTTTTGTATATCATGAGATGTACAGTGGTGGAAAAAAGTTTTCGGACACCCTTAAAATTTTAATATCATGAAATATTTGTGGAAAAATCTTTTTTGTGTTTCAAAAGGTGTGGCTGCATTAGACAGATACAAACAAATACAAATTATATTTTTTTGTTTATTGTTTACAAGAAAAACTAACAAAACTAAATTCTTGACAGTTTCAATAAGTCAGTTCTCAACTCATTGTCAGTATCAAAGTCAACAAATAACAGAATGTGTTCAAAACTGAACAAAAAATAAATAAACCATCACATCATCAAATTAATATTTAGTAGTCCTGCCATTGGCACGTAGTAGAGCTCTAATCCTGGCTGGCATGTTCCCCACAAGCCTTTCACACTGTTGAGGGGTAATCTTGTACCATTCTTCTTGAATTACTGCTTTTAATTCTTCTAAATTCTTTGGTTTATGCTTTGAAACAGACCTTTTGATAATCCACCACAGATTTTCAATGGGGCTCATGTCCAGGGATTGAGCTGGCCACTCTAAGACCTGGATACTGTGCTCCTGCAGCCAAGTTCTACTGGCCTTGGATGTGTGGCAAGGGCCATTATCTTGTTGAAACATCCAGTTTTTACCTCGATGGAACAGTGCACGCGCAAAAGGGAGCAGGAGGGTTTCGAGAATGGTACAATACTTGGTAGAGTTCAATGTGCCATCACAGACAGTGAGATGACCAACACCAGCAGCACTCATGCATCCCCAAACCATGATACTGCCTCCACCATGCTTGACAGTAGGTACTGTACATGCTGGAGATAATGCTTCGCCTGGCCTTCTGCGTACCCTCACATTAGTAGGAGGAAGATAAAGCTGGAAACTGGACTCATCTGACCACAAAATCTTCTTCCAATTCCTGGCTGTCCAGTTCTTGTGTGCCTGGGCCCAACGACGCCGGGCTAACCTCTGTCTCTCATTGATCAGGGGCTTCTTGATAGCCTTGTAGGACCTTAAGCCATGATCTAAAAGTCGGCCACGTACAGTGTGGGTGGAACACTGGACACCAGTTTGGTTTGACCACTGCTGCTGAAGCTCCTGTGATGTCATTCGGCGGTTTTGCCTGCACATGCTGATCAGGATGCGGTCATTTCTTGCTGAAGAAACCCTTGGACGCCCAGATCTTGGTTTGTCTTCTAAGCTGTTGGTTCGTCTGTATTTCTGCAGAGTGTATCCAACTGCTGAAGGACTGCATCTGCACTTCCTGGCTATCTGGCGGCAGCTGTACCTGGCTGAGAATCTTTATCTTCAGGCGTGTTTCCTGCGTTAGGTTCCTTGTTTTAGCCATTTTTGTGTCTGAAGAACCTTCAAATGTGCTGGCTTTATGTAGACACGAAGCTTGGCAACAAAAATTGTGTCTTTTAATAAAAAGAACGACCTTCATCACTGGTACCAAAATGACCCAATACTCAAAATTTCTTATGTATTTTTATGGAACCAATCAATTTTAAGTTTTTAATGGCTTTTTTAGGATTTATTTAGTATTTTGGCTGTGACTGTACTAAAACAAATTGCACTTGAAGACCTAAGAGTGATTCTTAATGCAATATTTCACAAATGCATGGGGTGTCGGAAAACTTTTTTCCACCACTGTATATCTGGCATTTTGTGGGATTGTTTGCAGTATCTTCTCAAGCTCTGGGTCTTTTCTCACTGTGTACTCAAACAATGACAAAAAAGTCCACAGCTTGCATCACCTTGAGAATCAAATGCTTCCACATTCCCTCTGAGAGTCAGTTTATGGCCAGGAATTGTAACATGTCGATAATAGCACAGATGTAATACCGATTTCTAGCTAGTTGGCCTTCATTCACAAGGGTGGAAACCTCCTGTCCTGAATCAGCCCTCTTCTCTCTCTCTCACCACTTTGCTGCACTTTCCATGTGTTCTTTACACTCCGCATGCTTGCGCAATCCTCTGCTGCGTGTTTCCAGTCACAATAGCCAGTTTTTTTGAACACAGAATCTACAGTCCCAAACTTTCAGCATGCAAAACAAAATGCCGCGTCAGCTTTAACACTGTACTCTAACCAGTCTCTACGGTTGTACCACAGGGCAACAAATGAACGTTTCTGACCTTTGAAAAGGCGAGAGGGAAACTTATTCAAAATGACCTGAATAACAGCTTGTCCTCACCTAGATCATCCGGAGGGCCACCGGTCATTATCACTGGGTTTGGCGCTATAATCTGTTTGCTCGCGCTCCGGCTCCGCTGGGGGGACTTGTGCCTCTGTGTAGCTAACGTTGCTAGCTGCTTGCTCCTTCTCCGCGGGGATAAAGTGCTCCTGCTCCGCTGTCGCTTGTTCCTCAGCTAGCTCTGCCCTACTGGAGGCAGTTTTAGGTTGCGGTGGTTGGAAGAATTTCCTTATATCCATAGTTCCGTTCCGTTTTTAATCACACATCTCCTCTCGCTCATAGATGGTAGAAAAATGTGAACGTAAACATACTTACGTCAGTGCCAATTGCAGCAGTACGCACGTCGCATGTGTCACGTGACACAAGCCGAGATGTATCAAATTAAATAAAATTAAAATATTTTTTGTATTTTAAATTTTACTGATTAACTGAATATGAATTAATACAATTTGACACACAAAACAAGTTATAACTAGTCTAAATTATTTTCAGGAGGAAAAAAACTCCTTACCCCTCTGACAGCCAATGGGGGGGCAAGGAGGCAGGGCTGGGGGTACATTGCCCCCCTAATTAACCCCCCCAACGCCGGGGCTGGGACACAGCCAACATTGTCCTGCTGTGTAACTGATCAGAAAACTTTGGTTTTACTCACTAGATCTTTGGAGCGATGTAGTGAATCTTCATGCAGTTTTTGTCAGCCACCACCATGTCGTCTGTAGCTCTGGTGTCTGCTCCCAGGATCACTCCATCCTGGCAGACAAGTACAGGAAATACTAACCACACATGCCTGCTCTTAGAGTCTACTTCCTAAACACTAAAAAACTTCCAGGTTGTTTTCACACATATGCACCAACATCAGTCAATCAGGAATAGAGAGCTGTAATAATAATACCTTTATTTATATAGAACTTTTCAAGAGCAGACATCTAAAATTGCTTCACAACAAAATACATAATAGCAAGTAAAAAACAAAACCACAGACATGAAATATAGATATCATGCTAAAACTTTAAAAGACATTAAAAATGAAAACTTAATCAAACTAAATTAAGACAAGTCTGAAAAGAGTCTCAAGCTGCTTTTTAAAAGTGTCCACAGATCTATGGGACTACACATCACAATGTAGGCCACTAGTGGTCACTTTAAGTGCTTTTATTTGAAGAGAAAATAAAGCATGGTAGACTCAACTGTCAGAAACTCCTTTTGTAGTTCACTTATCCTTGAGAGATGGGACAAAACATTTAAAGCAGCTGTGCGTAACTTTACGTTTTTGTTGATTATAGTGCCCCCTTTGGTCCAAGCGGTATGACACCCACAGCCTTGTGTCGTAAAATTCCGACTGCAGCCGGCATTCGGCTTCATTCGTAAAATCTCAACTGCAACCAGCAATTACCGCATGCATTTGTTTTGGAGAGCGAGAGGAAAATCATAAATGCTCTGCTGTAGCTCTGAATTTCTTATAAACTGCCTGCTGTATATTTGTGTTCATGGTCACAGTCAGATAATTTTGTCGTGTTTGTTGTAACGTTACTAGACAAAAGCGGTTCACATCAGCTAACGTTACATTTAGCTTGCTTACAACTTCCATAAGTGAAACAACATCTAACAAGTATTAGTATTATTCTCTAAATAAAAACAAAAACTACATACCTGTCTATTAGGAAAATGGCCAACTCGGGATCAGTTTTAAAACCTTTCAAATCTCTCAGCTCTCTCCACTTGGTGAATGCCCGACCGAGGTTTACACGCGTTTGGGCTCGATCCCTATCACTGTCCCGTTTAGCCTTCTTCTGTTCTTTTTCTTTTAGATGGTGCTCCTTCTTTATCCGCCATGACATCGAAAGTACAACCAAGTCCTTATAGATACATCTGGTAAAACTGTTATGTGTTCAGCAATGTCCGTTGTGTACAATGCCCGTTGTGTACCACTTACTCGAAGAACACTCTGTGGTGTAAACACAACTCCTTCTTCTTTCCTTAATGTATTGGCGGATCGCAAACAACTTCCAGGTGCATACCACCACCTCCTGTACAAGAGTGTGCAATGTGTCCGAAATCATTCACTACTCCCTACTACATGTCATTTACCCTGTTTCTTAATCCTACTCGTAAACACGGCTCCTTCTTCTTCTGTGGTTTAATGGCTCCGGGCCGCTGCGGGCGTGCAGACTTACTTCCGCCTCCAGGTGCCGTATTCTGGTTTGCTGACTTCCACTGTGTCCGACCCGACTGAGGCTACAAGGCTACACTAAATAGCCATATAGAGAAAGGCTTTTTTGTCGCTGCTGGGAGGGGGGGTCTGGTATGTAGTTAAGAGGTCCATGTTATTGTACTTGTCCTCAGCAGGAGGTCACAATATTGACCCACCCAAAAAAAACCCTTTTATATAAAAACATTTACCATTGTGCAAACATATATATTAAATTTAAAAAAAAATTCTATATTTATAAAACAATGCCTAAAGTGAACATCAAACAATATTTTCCTTAAAAATCTGCCTATCAAAGTTGTGTCCTCAGTTGTGTCCTCCGTCAGATTTTTTGATAATTCTTACTAAATCAGGCAATAGCATTTTTACACTTACAATTTTTTTTGTACAGTTACATATCAAATTTTCACAAGTACAAAAGAGTTTTACAGATACGCATCAAATTTTCACAAGTACAAAAAAGTTTTACAGATACACATCAAGTTTTTACAAGTACAAAAAAGTTTTACAGTGCACTGAGTCCACAGTTACGGATCAGACCCACAGGTACAAATCATATCTGCAAGTACAAGTCGGTACAAGTAGTTTCGACTGTCATTTGATGCATTCGAAGGAACAGCCAATCTGGATGCTGAGATTAACATATCATTTGACTATCCAATCACGGAGCCAGACGATGGGCCGTCTTTCCGACAAGAGGAAGAAGAAAACAAAGAAAAACAAGACTGAGGACAGTAATATCAGAGATATTGGATAAAGGAGATACCCCACCGTAGGCTTATCCAATGTTAAGAAAACGGTTACTCTTCCTGTCTCCTAAGTGGGCGTGGTTAGCTCTCCCTCCAATCAGAGCCTGTTCTCCCTCAACCCCCCTCCCCACCACCGTGTTGAACAGAGGCTCTGTGGATGTCTGTGTATGCGGATTGAGAAGCAGGTGGAATGAAAATACATTCTTCCTACTATTGCAGCCTATTGCTGCACAAAGCTTGGGCATTTTTTATTTATTACTAGCGGTAAATAACTGTTTGTAAGCTAACTGTGATTTTACCGCCTGTTTATCAAGATCACAAGATCTCGCGAGAACTTGTTTTCTGAGACGGACAGGGCTCAAACAAAGTTAATATTCTCTTGATCTGTGCAGATGAAAAATGAAGCTTAAATGTCAGAATATTGGTAAGATGTGTGGCTTGTGGAAAACGAACCCAATATTTACTTTAGTGACTACAGGGCGAAAGAAGTGACCATAAATTGTGATCACGTTCATTTTCCTCATTGACGACAATACATTCAAAGCTGCCGCAAGTCTCCTACGGGGGCGTGGCGCTGATGTCACTGAATCAGGAAGTGAGCTGAGTGGGGTATCTCTCTTTATCCAATATCTCTGGTAATATTAAGTTAATGCATATAATAATTAGGGCTACAGTTAACCAAAAAAAATATTGGTCGACTGAAGTCGTATGTAATCTTAAAGTAATCGATTAGTCGTAGGAAAAAAAAAATCTGCACATTATTTTTACTTCTGCAGCGGTGTGTCTGTCACTCTGCAGTTACACCAAAACGCTAATCGGTGGTGGAGGACTATGGTAAGTGCTGTAAGGCTTAGTTGATTCAAAACACACCCAAAACACACATTAAACATAGCTTAATAGAAACAATTTCAAACACAAGTACACAAATCAGCTTCACTATAACTCGCAGCATTCACAGACAAACACTTGTCTTTATCTGGACACATTTCCCCCACCAATACATCATGCTAACGTTATTAGCACAAGCCTATGGTATTTAAATTAGCCTAGCAACTAGTGATCTTTTTCTCTTCTCATATAAAACCAGGGACAACAGCGACATTTAACAAAGGTAACGGCACTCAATTTGGCTCCATTACAACTCACAACATTCGCCAACAAAACAACTGTTGCACTAAACAAGTTTTCCAAGCAAATACAACATGCTAACATTATTAGCGCCAGCCTATGGCATTTTACAGTAGGCCTATATAAATTAGCCTAGTGACGAGCGGAGATTTCCTCTGCTCATATGAAGCCAGGATAAATCCCAAGTATAAATCCCTAAAGGATATATCACACACAAGTCTTAAAATGCTATTTTAGTGGAGGCTTTACTGTCTTCACAATTTATTGTTTCTTATCTGTGAAATACAAGTAAATACAAGCTTCGTTTCCACCAAGGGAAATGGTGTCAGTATACAGAAACAGGCAGGAGGTCTGTGTCACCGCAATGCTGGGCGTTAAGGTGGGCGAGTTCAACATTGTGTAAACAAAGGAGTAATAATAATGATAGATAGATAGATAGATAGATAGATAGATAAACTGCAATGTAACGTTAGCTAATGAAGACATGAAGGGTATGAGATTAAGTTAATGCTGTTTTGGTTGACTGGTAAAATCGCTGGTATTCTCTGGTAATGTCTTCACTGTTAGCAGGCTAATTTAGCAAAGTCACAAGAGGTAATGTTACATTGGTTTTGCTAAAATAAATAAAAGTATGTGATATAACGACACATCATTCATATTTACATTTGGCTGCCGGTTTAGTGTTCGTATAAATGTTTTGTGTTTGTGTTTGTCTTCATAACAGTTAGTTATTTTTCTTTTTAACTACAGTCACACTACGTGTGTCAGTGTGTGTTGCAATGGATCCTCCAGGAGACATGCTGTCTGCCGAAGCACAGGTGGGTTGCTGTCTGGTCATGCTAACCAAGCTAGTTCGGTAGCCGTCTTATTTAAATAGCCCCCTTTATCATAAGCCATTTTCCCACATAGATAGCACAGTATTGCCACCAAGAGGTGCTTTCCAGGGACTCTGTGCGCTCAAGCTATCCATGGTCAAATTAGCCACCCCTGCATTTCGAGTGCACTCGAAGTTTGTGCTGGGATACACATTATAACAGTTGAATATATGAAATGTGCCTTTAACATGGTGTATACTGTGTCGCCTAGCAGCAACGTCATCAAGCAGCACCTGTTATGATTTGAGTCTGTTGAGAGCGCACCCAACGCTGGTCGGACGTATACTTATGAGCTCCTGCTTTTTCTTTTATCTCTCAACACAACAGTGATGGTATTAAGTACATGTGGCTATTCTGTTCATGTATGAAAATATAGTAGCCGTACAACCGGGCTTGGTAAGGTTGGAGTGTTTTTAAGTTGATGTAAAAATAAATGACAAGCATTTGTGAAATCCTGCACTCATGTGGAAGTGAGTTTCTGCCTGTCGTCTCACTCCAAAGAGCTACACGGACCCAAAACCATTACAACATACAACTACGCCCGCTTTTCAAAACAAGATGTCAACGCAAATATACCTTCTTCCCTGTGACATGAAACCCTTGTCTTCCATAAGTAGTTCATGATAAACTACTTGCACAAATACTTTGATGTACTGTAACCGTATACTTACTCTGTTATCTCAGAATCAGAATTGTGTTTTATTGCCAAGTAGTTTTTCACATATAAGGAATTTGACTTGGTATGTCGATGCTGAACAATTAACATACAAATGTAAAGATAAACACACA